TGGCAGATCTTAGTCGCTCGTTAGGAACAAACAGTCCGCTGAAGGCGAGTGCGGTACTGTACAGGTACTGGAAGAAGGGTGTGCCAGGGTGGGACGAGTGTTTTGATCGTCCGTAAGCTTTACATGATTCTGCTTTGAAGTGACCTTGCTGACACTGATAGGGACATGACGCCGCTCGCTTGCGGTATATTTTAGAGAAGGTGGCATCCGGCCTTTGCGAGGGTTGTTAGCGAATCACAATTGCCACAAATTGTGCTGATGTATGTGCACTTGTTACGCCAACCCACTTTGATACTGGTTGCAGCCATGCTGCAATCTCAGGGTGTTCACACTCACAGTCACCTAGAAAAGGACCCAGCCTGCAATGGAATGTACGTACCTATTCAAATTGCAATGGTTTATACATACTTCGCTTCGCTCATGAACAATTGAACAGACAAGTCCCACCTTCTATGCTCGAATTCGCTCCCCTAATCATCTTCAAATTCCTAGTCGACAATCTTTCCACGTCATGGTCCTGAGTTCAGCCCATCATGCGTTGTCTAGTCTCGTGAAGATCTAGTTCTCCGGCTTCGTCTGACCATCTCACAAAGTGGTGTACAGGGCGACCTCACTACGCTTAGCACCTCCCCCGGAGTCCCAAGGCCCTCTTGCAGGAAATCATTGGCCTTCACAAAAGCAATTGCGAACCCCGATCGGGGACCGTAACTACCAATCAACCATTCCAGGCATGTAGGATGTGTACGAACTATCCATTGTGTAATGTCGCACTACAACGAACTCCGACAAACATCAAGCTTGAGCATAAGGTCAAGAAAGGAGAGATGAGTATAAAGCCTACCAAAGGGACACTGGTACTTGACCATCAACATCTCTCACATCAGATAAACACCTCCACTTACCAACGCAAACCCAATAACACTCAACAAGACTCGACTATCATGAAGCTCGCTCTTGTCCTCACCACCCTTGTAGCCGTCGCAATCGCTGCACCCGCCGCAGACGGTCCACCAGAGTCTCACCCTGATCTCATCATCTCGGACGCTACCCCAGCCCAGACCGAGCCCATTTTTGAGGTCGAGAAGAGCAATTGCATCAAGAATGGAGGTGAGTTGCCTTGATCATCGGGTCGATGAGAGTCTTTCACGTTAGACTAACTCGAATTTGTTCAGGCGATTGTGCCAAGCACCTAAACTCCTGCTGCAGTAAAAGGTGTTATATGAACAAGGGAAAGGGAACGTATAGCTGCTGGCCTTTCTAGATAAGTTGGAGCGATGAATGGCCCAACAGGGTACGTTTTGAGATAGCTGCAAGAGGACACTCATTCTTTGGGAAAAGGTTGCTAGTTGATTGCAACCATGCCAGAACATGGTACTTGAGGTATGCTTCGATAGCAGAATTGATTCAACTCGATTTCTGCTTGAGTCATAGTCCAGGGATAGTACAATGTTGATGTATAGTTTTTACAATATACAAGGGGAGATTTTGAACCTTACCCCAAATGCGCCCGTATTGCATCAACGACAGTCTGTGCTGATTTGCCTTTGCAACTTTCATGTGTCCTACATGCCCCTTTTGTACAACGTATCATAACTTAAACTTATCGTAACACGTTCTTTCTCTCGGTTTAACCATCTCAAGCTTTATCCATCACCGACCCTCCCCCTCCCCACTCCCGCCCTCTCCCGTCCCATCCCCGTTCGTGTTCCCACTACTTTTATACGGCCGTCCAGCATACAACATATACCCCTTCTCCTCAATTGTACCCACCTTCTCATCTACCTCCGCCCTGCCCTGTCCAAACGCGCCCGTTTCCAGCTGGCCTTGCACCGCAATCGGCCTGTTTCCGCGAAACCGCTTGCGCATGTCGATCATGCCCTTTTTGCATTCTGCGTAGCCTTTTTGCAGTTGTTGGCATTGTGTGGGGAGGGTGTATTTCAGCGGTGGGCGGAGGCATTCGCCGGGGGTATTGCGCTCGATCATTATGCAGTCGCTGTTTTGGAGGCAGAATGCTAGGGCCGCTCCTGTGGAAGGATTAGTACAATGATCGGCTGTGACCCGCTGGCTAGAGGAGGGGTATCACTCACGAATGTCTTTACATGATTGTGGCATATTGAATCTGTGGGCGTGGTATTGCTACCGGCGCGTTGGTATGATGGTATGCTGTACAGTGGTGGAGTGAGTCCTGGGCGGCATCCAACATTATGTCAGCGGAATTGTCGCGCGCAACCCAAGACACCAGACCATATGGATCAACGCTAAGAGACGGGAAGGAGCGTAATCACATGTCAAGCACCCCAACCCGGTTCTGGAACGTCATTTCTCCACATTCTGCACAGCGAGCCATCATGACTTGCCCGTTGTCCCTGTTCCACTCCTGCTGCTGTTCAACTTCCTCACCGCTGTTGCTGTGCTGTAACGGGTGAGCCATGTCGCGTGCGTTGACTGCTTGATCGAGCTCCAATCGCCCTGTTTGGCCTTCCTTTGCACAGCACCCCCGTGTAGATCGTTACAACACTTGGGCATAGCTCACCCTTCGCTTTATATCGCGTCGCTCGAGTGCAGCGACACACGACATATACACGACACAATGGCCCTGCACATACCCTTCCTCTCGCGCCTGCATTTGCGCGAATACTTCGCACTCGTCCTTTCCATCTGCCTCATCGTTCTCGAGTCCATCATCGCCGTCATCACCCTTGCGCTGCCCACGCCGATTATCAATTTCTGCTACCGGCTGACTCGTCGGTTATTCAACCACCTCTCCTCGCCCTCGTCGAAGCGCGTACGACAGAAGAAGAAGGGCGTATGGAGTTCCATTGCCAACGCATCCGACTTTACCGAGCTATGTGAGCTGTATGGATACTACTGCGAGGAACACATTGTACAGACTGGCGATGGATATCTGTTGGGTCTACACCGCCTGGGCTGGCGCCAGGGTGAAGAAGATGTTCGCGTAAACTCCGGTGATAGGAACCATGGGGTCAAGAAAAAGGTCGTGTATCTCCACCATGGCTTGATGATGAATAGTGAGGTCTGGGTTTGCTTGACAGAGCGGGAACGCTGCTTGCCATTCGAGTTGGTGGAGCGCGGCTACGATGTCTGGCTTGGTAATAATAGGGGAAACAAGTACTCGAAGAAGAGCGTGCATTCTGCGCCAACGTCTAGCGCATTTTGGAACTTCAGCATGGATCAATTCGCTTTTCACGATATCCCGGATTCTATCTCGTATATTTTAGAGACGACACACCAGCCGAGTTTGTCGTATATTGGCTTTTCGCAGGGCACCGCGCAGGCGTTTGCGACGCTGTCGATCCATCCTACGCTTAATGAAAAGGTGGATGTATTCATCGCTTTGGCACCGGCTATGTCCCCGAAGGGTGTTGCTTCCGGCATTGTCGACTCGTTCGTTAAGGCCTCACCGGATATTCTCTACTTGGCTTTCGGTCGCAAAGCCATCCTCCCCTCAACCACAATGTGGCAGTCTATCCTCTATCCGCCAATCTTCGTTCGCATTATCGACACCTCTCTACGCTTCCTCTTTGGCTGGACAGCTGTCAACATCGCTCCACATCAGAAGCTTGCAGCTTACCCTCATCTTTATTCGTATAGTTCTACCAAAAGTGTGGTCCACTGGTTCCAGATTATTCGTAATGGGACATTCCAAATGTACGATGACGATGCACCAAGCCCGCTTTCAAATCGTGGCAAGTACTACAAAGTCGCCAAATTCCCCACTCGCAACATCAAAACGCCCATTGTTCTCATTTATGGCGGCGCGGACGGTCTCGTTGACATCAACGTCATGCTCAAAGAGCTGCCACGCCACACTGTTGCGAAAGAGATCCCACACTACGAGCACCTCGATTTCCTTTGGGGAGAATCTGTCGATACCCTCGTCTTTCCACATATCTTCGAAGCCTTGAACAAACATGTCCATACAGACGAGCACCACCAGCTCGAAGGCCGGAAAGAAAAGCGCTGGAGCTCACCCGGTCGCTACCGTGGCCTCCTGACACAATCCGAAAACCCACCTTCCGCTGAGGATGAAGACGACGCCGGCGACGAAAGCGCAACAAGTCCCGTCGCCCTTCGCTCCCGCAAGGTGTCTTCAGTCTCCCGTCGCCCCCTCTCAATGGACGGTGCCCTCCTGGAAGATCTCCCCCCATCCCTACCCAGCCCCATCTCAGCATCCAAAGTCCCCCACCTAGCCAGCTACGAAGCTCGCACAAACACAAAATCAGTATACTCCCCTCCCCGTCGCACCCTGATGTCCCCACCACCCACCTCCCGTATCCTTGAAAACGCAACAAGTAGTCCCAACGCATCAATCGGCGAATCCCACGCTACAAACCTCACATCCACATCGCGCCCGGAAGGCTGGTGGTCCAGCGATGAAGTCGCAGGAACAGAAGCGAGCCAGCCGACCACCCCAAGGCGAAGGGGGAGTTTCGATAGTCAGAGGAGTGGAAAGTCGCTTGGTGGAAGGTTTGGCAATAAAGGTATTAGTTTGGGAGTAGGCAGGCCAGTTAGTAGTGTTGTTGCGGGCGAGGGGCATGGCGAGTATGGAGGTAGTGAGAGGGATGGGGAGAGAGAGTTGGAGAGGGCGGGAAAAGGGGAGGATGGGAGGGGTAAGGTTAAGGGGAGGAGGAAGAGGGTTAGCCTTGCATGATGGAGAGGGAAGGATTTGGGGTTTTATTTAGTACAGTGTGCTAGGATGATTTCATGGGAACCAGATGCATTTTAAATTTGCTTGTGGAGTGTTTCTCCATGCTTGATCACGCGTGCTGCTCAAAGAATGGTATTGTGCGGAAATACTAGGAGACATATTCCCCAATCTGATGAACTACAAGAGAACAGAAGGGAAGCTTCTTTTCATACGTTCCGCGATTTTTCATCTCTTCTAGGCCAAAAATAGGGGGCAACGCGAGTAAACTGCATCAAATTCCCCCCAGTCAATGTCGACAAGGCCAAAAAAGCAACGGGACTTTCGTCCGAGATGATTCAAGCGAGGTTCGAACTCGCGACCTTTCGCGCATTACAGAATTGTGAGGCGAACGTGATAACCAACTACACCATCGAACCGTTTTCTTGATGACGAAATTGCGAAAATATTTTAATATAGTGTTAATGAAACGGTGGAAACAAGTGGGGCATAGCGCGAAGCCTAAAGCTTGCGACGGGTGAGGGTGGGGTAACCGAGGATTTAACTTTACCTTGTGAAGCGGGGCGGCGCAATCTGATTTACATCTACTTTAGAGGATCGGTGAGTATGTGGATGATGTGATGAGGGCGTAGTGGTACGAGATAGTGGGCTTGAAGGGTGGCCTAATGCTGATGAGGTGAGTTGGCATCGTCCACATACCACAATCAGTCGTCGATCGGTCCTGCGTTTTAGTTTCAGTCTTCACAGTCGCGTATAGGGGCTTTGATACCCAGTCTGCATACTGTCATCGCGTTAAGATCCTTTACCTAGTTTTGCATTTCGCATTTCGCATCACCGCTCAAAATCTCCATACCTCCATCTGCCTCACCCAGCATTTCTGAAGCCCCAAAATGCCACCAATCAAGCACCACCTTCCATGGACACACTCCCCCATCATCATCAACGCGCCCATGGCCGGCTTCGCAGGTGGCACCCTCGCTTCCACCGTTACACTCGCTGGCGGCGTGGGTATGATCGGTAGTCTAACCAACATGGACGACTTGCGCAAAGAACTGCGTATCGCATCTTCCGCTCTCGCGTCGACACCTGTATTCTCATCCCCATCATCACCGCTCCTCCCCATCGGCGTAGGCTTCCTGCTTTTTCTACAAAAGCTCGAAGATGTGTTGTCCGTCGTTGCAGAGTTCAAACCAGCGGTTGTCTGGCTCTTTGCTGCTAATTCCCTCGATGATTATGCGTGGTGGACGAAGGCCATACGGGAGGTTTCTCCCGAAAGTAGGATATGGATTCAAGTTGGTAGTGTGACTGCGGCGTTGCAGCTTGCTCGGTCCGCACAGCCTGATGTTCTCGTCCTGCAGGGTGCGGATGCGGGAGGCCATGGGTTTGAAAAGGGCGCGGGGATTGTTTCGCTGGTGCCTGAAGTGGTTGATACGCTCACGCAGGAGGGGTTTGCTGATATTGCGCTTGTGGCGTCTGGGGGCATTGTCGATGGTCGTGGTGTCGCGGCTGCGCTTGCGCTTGGTGCACAGGGTGTGGTGATGGGAACGCGGTTCCTTGCGTCAAAGGAAGTAGTTGTTCATCCGAAGTACCAGGCTGCGGTGTTGGAAGCGGTGGATGGCGGGCAGGTGACTACGCGATCGAAGCTGTTTGATCAGTTGCGTGGTCCGAATATTTGGCCGGAGATGTATGATGGGCGGAGTTTGGTGGTGAGGAGTCATAAGGATTTTGTTGATGGAGTAGCGTTGGAGGAGATACAGAGGCTATGTGGCGGGGCGGTTGGAGAGAATAGTAAAGGGTTTGATACGGGGCTTGCTGGTAGAGCAGCGATATGGGCGGGTACGGGAGTTGGATTGGTGAAGGATGTTGTGGGTGCGGAGGAGATTGTTGGGAGGGTGAGGAGAGAGGCGGCAGAGGTACTGGTGAAAGCTTCCCAGCTTTAGGTCTGGTTTTTTATCTCTGGTGAAGGCATGCCTATGAGCGGTATTGAGTATGTGGGATCCTTGGAAGTGACAGTGAAGTCGCATCTGCGAAGATAATGACTGAGTCCTTCTCCAATAAGAAAAGCCCGCCATGTCACCAATGTTGCATACTTTACTGAAGTAGAGTTACGAGCGGCAGCGCTGGAGAGCAAACACATCTGCGGCCTTGTGCAGGGGATCATCCAGATTGGGTTAGCTACTTTGTAAATCAGAATGCGACAGCTGAAGCTCCATCAATTTTGCTTACGTCCCGTATGTCATATGCACTACACCTCATGCCTGGCCTTTATGAATCCGGATCAACTCAAGCTATCTCCAATTCGAATGCTGTGCTAAGGACCGGTGCGATGACGTCGCGAGAACCACCTCCATTCGTCAAGCATAGATGTCAGTATTGCGACGACCTCCCGGCCGAGGCAAGCTTCAAAGTCCTGTCTGGAGCACGTCTTTCGAGAGACTCTAGAATATTTCCTGAATCATGTCTGTTCACACAGTTCATCACATCGTGCATCCGCTGGATCGAGTTGAATATATTGAACGGGAGCCGAGACCCGACGATTATTGCCTCTAGAGACGGCAGCCTCCAAGTCTTCTATTCACATAACAGCAGAGCTGTGGGCAGAATGATGTTTGAATGCTTCCAGTTGCGTGGCGACGAGCACCGTGTCAGTACGTAAGGTGCAATCCCCTCGAACATAATGTACTTATCAGTGTATAGATGAAATTGGCACAGAGGCTTTATCTTTAGAAAAACGCGATGTTCTGAGAATACTACCTGCGGAGACATCTTCAGAAGTTTCAATCAATTTCATTCAACAATGGCTTTCAGCATGCTTCTCGACGCATGCTGAATGTCCTGGGCCTCTGACACAGTATCCGGAAGGGCTACTCCAAGGCATTCGTTTCCTTCAGATTGACAACCACTCAGTAGTATTAACAGAGGATATGCGACCACTTCGCTACGCAGCATTGAGTCATTGCTGGGGTTCTGGTATGAACATTCTCAAGACTACCACGCAAACCCTCAAGGACCACAAAACCGGTGGGATAGCTTTGGAAACTCTCCCAAAAACTTTCCAGGATGCAGTCACAATATGTCAGAGATTGGAAATCTCTTTCCTGTGGATTGACAGTCTTTGCATAATACAAGACAGCTCCGAAGACTGGCGGAACCAAGCGTCCCGCATGGCTGAGGTCTACGAGAATGCCGTAATTACAATTGCAGCTTCTAAAGCACAGGATCCATCACAGGGCTGTTTCACGCGAACTCACTGGTCTTATCGGGGCGTTTTGCTTCCTGGATATGCGGATACCTTTATCCGTCGTGTATGCGTTCCTCCTGGTGCTGCTTTCCATTCATACCACAATCACGATGAATGGCCTCTGTATAAGAGAGGCTGGATATACCAAGAGCTTGTTTTGTCGCCCCGAGTCATACACTTCAATGAGGAGTTGATGTGGTACTGCACGACGCACGCCAAGCGCGGCCAAAGTATGACAAACAAATTTCATGGCATGTTCTCTCAATCCCAGAAGCATAAGCGATTCACAGCAAAGGATTTTCGGAGGCAGTGGTACCAGACCATTGAAGCGTACTCCTGGCGCGATATGACGTTCCCTACCGATAAACTACCGGCGATCGCTGCTATAGCAGAGCGCCAACAACAGTTGCGACCTAATGATCAATACCTAGCTGGATTATGGAAGAGTACGCTATTGTTTGACTTGTTGTGGTATATAAAAGACAAACACGCTACTATCGATTTAAGAAGTCAAATTACTGATGGCAACGTGCCTTCTTGGTCGTGGGCATCTACCAAACTTGGTGTCACATGGACCCAATTTTCTTTTCAAAACAAGCTGAGATGCGTTGAGGTCATCGAAGCAATATACACGACGGATGGACCCATCTTTTCGGGAAATATAACAATGGCCGAGATTGTGCTCAGAGTTCCCAAAATCAAATTAGAAGATCTGCGGGCGTACGATGATCTTGAGCTAGATCTGTCATCGCCCACGGGTGATGAAGACGAACTTTCGCACCCTGATAGCAGACTCATGGAGCTCACTCTTGGCGACCTTAGATTCGATACAGTCGTGTTCACATCGCCGACCGTCGAAACGCAGCAGCACTCTTTTGCAATACCGCTCTCTGACCATGAATACCACGGCGATGAGTTTAATCTTCGCGAAACCGGGTCTTTAATGCTCTTAGTAACTCAAACACACGAGCGCGGTCATTACAGGCGTCTCGGCGTTGCCTACGTGGCTTATGCAGGTACCTTTTATCTCGTCGCCAAACAGCGAACGAATGGAATGGAAATTGGAAAGGATGATCCTCGAGATCTTGTTGCACAGGCCGAATATAGGAGGCTACTCGTTGAGAAAATCGAGAACCTGGAAACGCATATCATCACTCTGATATGACATGACAGCGATGATGGAAACCCGCCCCCAGGCCTTCGAAATGGCTATTACTCATTCACGTACATCCATTATAACTTACATCCATTATAACTTACATCCATTATAACTTACATCCATTATAACTTACATCCATTATAACTTACATCCATTATAAC